GTGCATTAAGAAAGGACCATTTCAGAACCGGGTTTTATATAATTTCTTTTTTATTTTTTGAGATAGTTTATATTGTTCTGGGTAATGAGTGGTCTCAATTAAGGATCAGAGAGATTTGTATTTGTACTGTTCCAATGCAAATGTGTAAAGTAAGGGCTGTTGCTTTCTTTTTATTTGCTAATTATCACAAAATTCTTGCTTTCAGCATTGTTAGATTTTTTCATTTTAGACTGGAATTATGCATTGTAGGATTGAATATTGATGTTATGAATCAATGCTGGAAGAATAGTAAAGTTGTTGATTCAATTAGATGGGTTTAATATGTTCAGCATAAGCAGCTAGCGGCTGTGTGAAGCTTTTTGCCTTTTTCCCAGTGTGCAAGTTGAGAAATTCATATACTGGATTGGCACCAATATTAATATCTATGGAACTACTGGGGATTGAATCTTCTATCTTTTAGAGCTTTCGCCATTTGGGGCTTGTTTTAGATGGATGTGAATATGCTAAGTTTGGGTCTTAGCATCTAGCTTGTTTATGCATGAACAAACTTGTCAAATTTTCCTAAACCCACAGTTTCAGTTCAGGGTCATATGCTAATCCAAGTAACTAAAGAATTTATGTAGTTATGGTTATAATTACATATATTTATTACTTTTGCAGATTCATTTGCCGTTAAAAATCATGAGATAAAAAATTTTCACATTTTAATGGTAAGCTGGGCTGGAAATTTTCTTGGTTAAATGAGTGTGCTAAGACAAATATTCCTCATTGGGGAATTTGAAATCAGTTTGAAAGGTTATCATATTCTTTTTCTTCCATTTGTTCATGTTCTTTATGTCAAAAATGCTATACTGTTTGATCATACTAACTTTGTGTCATCTCTGCCTTAGTTACTTATAGCTATTGTATAGCCATTTGGCATGAGAAGTGTTCTTTAACACCACACTCGGCAATAATTCTACTTTGTTGAACCAGTGTACTTACTGATGCACTTATTGGCTCATATTGTAGTTAAAGCTTTTGATATTCATACCAAGATTTTGGGGTTTTATATTGATCTCAGGATGTATCAGGCTAGCTATATCCAAAAGAGAAATAGAATCAAGAACAAGTTAAGCAAATTCGTCATAAGTTACTCACTTCTAACCTGCATAACTGAGTGGCTTAAGCATCAAACAAAGGCATTGTCTGGACTATTTCTTTTTGCTAATTTTTTCTGTATGGCTTTAGTGGCTCTTTCTAAGCATTGTTATTTAAGTGTAGGAAGCAATTTTCTTGGATTTAGAGGTTTCCTTTAGTTACATAAACTGTCAAATATTCAAACTTCACTATCTGACACCAAAAACAATGATGTGGTTTGTTTGGTATTAGTTCTCTTGATATACTTGTTTTGTTCTCTGCAGCAACATTTATTTTTGGTCGTTACATAATATTTGAGGTTTCTTTGAATACAGCATTTTGCTTTATGCTATATACTTTTGGATGTGTACAAGTTAATATTGCCTTTTCTCGTATATCGGATTAGTTCGTCCTAAGCTGTTTTATAAATAAGAAAATTTTGGATAATTGAAGTTTGTAAAAAGTGAAGTTCATTTCTTTAACTTTTATTTTTGCAGAAAATGCAGAATGTTAATTTTATTGATGACATTTTGGCAGGTAGTTGGAATTTAATTATATTGGCTTAAAATGTCTTCCCCAAGCAAGAGGAGAGAAATGGATGTAATGAAGTTGTAAGTTTCTCTTTCATATTTACATCTTCATATTCGGTGATGCTTTACGCTCACATGATAATTTCATTCTATTTTCATTTTGTTGGGGACATTTTGTAATTTTTTTGCCTTTACAGAAACAATAGGGTTTTCCCTAGGTGTTTTGGGCACTAATCTTTGCAATCACCTAAGGAGGTGCTAGGGGTTAGTGTGGCTGGCACACCCAGACTGGCTGACTTAATCACATATATAGGGATTTGGATAAGTTGGGCTGATTTGATCTGTAAGCCTAACCTGGTAGCATCATTAAGATGTAGTTGTAGCAATGATGGTTACTCCAATGGAATTTGTCAAGTTGAAACATTTCTTATCTCATAAATGGATTGTATGTGGAAATATGTTAATAACAGGACTGCCTGGCTGCTGAGTGCTGCAAATTGGTTCAGTTGCATAATGAGTTTGATTTTGTCAGTCTTATTAACTCATTTCTTATCTTGTTGCTTTTGTAAAAGTTTGGGTTGTATGAAGTTCTTCTGGTTGAAGCGACTGTGAAAAGGAGACATCATTCATTTTATGTTTGAAGATTAGCATTAAGCTGTCTGTAGACTACATAATAAGTTAATAAAATTAATTTTGCACCTGTTTTTTGAAGTCAACAGCAATGAATAGATGGTTTAGTTTGGTTAACAAATTCTACCTCATTGGTTTCAAGTGCAAATAGAACTTTTACTTTGCATAATGAGTAATGGGATTGCCAGACTGCTGATTGCTGTGAATTGGTTCGGTTGCATGATGAGTTTGACTTTGTCAGTCTTATTAGCTCATTTCTTATCTTGTTATTTTTGTAAAATTTTAACAAATTCTACCTCATTGGTTTCAAGTGCAAATAGAACTTTTACTTTGCAGTTAACTTTGTAGAGAGCTTTAATGTGGTTTTATCTGGCAATTTTAGGACATGAGGTCCTTTGAGATGTGAGATTCTCTAAGCCAGGCAGCTTAAGCCATCTATGAATTGGATTGTTAATTTGACTGGCATTGATTCATTAAATACATATGATATTCAACTGTGTCTATGGTGTTGGTTCTGATTTTCCACAATCCACGTAAGCCATCCATGAACAGCTAGATTGGTTAATGGTCTTCAGAATTCACCATTATTATGTGGTGAGTTTGTTGCATTTGGATGGGGCGTCCTCTTGCATATAACAACGTAGAGCTGATTTCTCCTTTTGGTTTGCCTGATTGACTATTTTATTTCTTGTTACATCTACTTTATTAAAATGATGATGCTGCTTCCCATTTTCAATTTGTGAAAGCTTTACTGAATTTAGCAATTGTTGCCTAAATTTTTGGTTTTTTAATCTGAGTTGCTAATGAGTTTTTATCTCTTGGGCAATTCTCACTTGTTCATTTTATCCAGGATGATGAGTGATTACAATGTGGAAACAATAAATGATGGACTCAACGAATTCAACGTTGAATTTCATGGTCCCAAAGAAAGTATGCTTATATTACTGCTGGTTTATAGATGTTTCTGGTTATCTGTTTTTTTCTTTTTTTTTGCTCAGCAAGTTATCTGTTATATATGATTTCTTTCGCACGTTATTTGTATGTGATAATTTCTCCTTTCCTCCTTTAATATCCTTAACCTCCTCAACTGTGATGTTTACAGGCCTGTATGAAGGTGGAGTTTGGAAAATCCGAGTTGAGCTTCCTGATGCTTATCCATACAAGTCCCCTTCTATTGGGTTTATGAACAAGATATTCCACCCAAATGTTGATGAAATGTAAGCATTTTATAATTTCAAAGTCGACTTTTACAGATTGCAATATCTTCTGCTTTAGTTCTTTCTTCTTTTACCGTCTTGAAAAATGATCCAATTGAGCTGTCATGGTCAGCCATCTAAAAAATGGAATGGTTAGGCTATGGTCCTAAGATGCTCTTATTTAAAATTAATTCTTAATAGACTAGGATTCAGGTAACCTTTTCTCCATGTTGATTATTGTTTAAAGTTTTGATGCAACCTGAATTTGTTCTGTATTGAATTAATTGCAGGTCTGGTTCTGTATGCTTGGATGTTATTAACCAATCTTGGAGTCCAATGTTTGGTAAGCATCATTTAACTACCAATGCTCGCCAAAAGGCCATAGAGTTTATCTATTTTCTTGATTGGCATCTTTGCAATGCCCCTATACATTTTTTTTTTAAATATTACATTTTCTTCTCCCACACATGAATTAGTAAAAGCTGCTTTCTTTCTGGTATTTGTTCTGCCAAGTGAGCTGTTTGTGATTTTTTTTTTTCTGCTGCTGCAGATCTTTTAAATATTTTTGAAGTTTTTCTTCCACAACTCTTGCTTTACCCAAACCCTTCGGACCCCCTAAATGGGGATGCAGCATCATTGATGATGAAGGATCGGAAGCAATATGATCAAAAAGTAAAAGGTGAAGATAATGAATTGGTTTAGTCTTCCTTCTTTCCATTCACATTTGCTTTAGTTGAATGGCTCCAAAGAAATCTTTTACTCTCTACATTTGAAAATTTTGTGATTTGGGAACTCGGAATTGCTGTCCATGAGAAGTGTATAAGAAAGAGAGGGCAGTTGCCCCATAAATATTCCTTTCCAGGGTGAGTGATGTAACAAGTGTATTTTACCGTTGTGGAAACAGAATACTGTGAGCGATACGCAAAGAAAGAAAACATCACAAAATCCACAGCTGATGAAGAGAGTGATGAAGAAGACGTCACTGATGAGGAAAGCAAATCTAGTGATGATGAAATCGCTGGCCATGCAGACCCATAACAGAACTTGGGGACTTGGCTCGATGAGCTAAACACCTGATAAAAGCAGCAATGAACCCCTTTGTTGTTCTCCTCAGCATAGAAAAATAGAAGTGATAAGAGATTTCAAAATACTCGGGGTCACAAGAAAATTGGACAGAACAATTGATACACTAAATCAAATATGTTTATCATCATCTCTTGTTAAGTAGTTATTTGATTGTCTCAACAGCCTTTTATTTTGTTTTCCTATCAGATCTCTGTACTAGGAGATTACAAATATTTGAATATATATATATATATATATATTGTATATGCTGAGAATTTGTTTACATTTGTCATCAATAACTTCAGTGATACATGATAGAGCCCAATAAGTAGGAAGTATTGCAGGGAAGATCCCAGTTTCATATTGAAAGTTATTAATTAATGGAACTGCTTGATTCACTTTGTGAATGAACAACACAGAATCAGTCAGCGTACTTGATTACTTATTTATTAAGTGATGCTTTCTGCTGAACGATGCATTTCTCTGATTTCAATCAACAATCTGAAGCTTGCTAAAAATTCAGGGTTTCGGCTGAAAAATTCCTTGCCAGTTGATTGCTGGATTTAGATCAGTGACAAAGCTGCATTTGTACCATATATATATATATATATATATATTTAATAAAGATGCTTTTCTAGGTCCTGAAGAATTGGCTTGTGAGACGCCAACTGAGAAAGACATGGCGTTTCAGAAATTCTTGACTATTTCACTCTGCCGGCGGTCAATTTTTTATATGTCACTTTGGCGGTTTGGCTCATTCCCGAGTCATTATTGACAGTCGTATCCACAAGAACAAACCATCTTTGTAAATTCAGCCATTTGGCAAGCAAAAGTGGGCAGTGCAACAGTTCCCGCCTTGTTATTTTCTGTTTGTTCTACGATTCATGATCAAGCAAACCCCATTTCATAAAGGAGGCAAAAGCAGGCAGATCATCCTCCTCATTTTTTTTTAAACCTTGCTTGTTTTTTCGACAATGAACCCAGTTTCCATTCGGGTTCTGCCGATTTTGATCTTTCTCCTCTTCCATGTGTCAAATTCTGAAGATGAAGAAGTGAAGCAATCACTGGTGGAATTCTTGGACAAACTTGCAGCTGGAAATGTTGAGAGAGATCAAAGTTGGGGTTGGAACATGACTTCAGACCCCTGCAAAGACAACTGGAAGGGTGTATCCTGTGATTTGCAATTGAAATCCGTAAAGAAAGTAGTTCTTGATGAGCTAAATCTTACTGGAGTTCTATTTATTGGTTCTGTCTGCAGGGCAAGCTCCCTTTCCGTGCTTAGCCTGAACAAGAACAATGTCGTTGGATTGATATCAGAAGAGATAGGGAACTGCAAAAGATTGACACACCTGTATTTAAGTGGGAACCAATTGTCCGGTGACCTTCCGGAGTCTCTGAAACAGTTAAGTAATTTGAAAAGGTTCGATATATCAGATAATAACTTCTCTGGCCAGGTTCCTGATTTATCTCGAATTGCAGGCCTGGTTACTTTCCTTGCTCAGAACAATCAGCTGAGTGGAGAGATACCAAATCTTGATTTCTCCAATCTGATAAAGCTCAATATCTCCAACAACAACTTCAGTGGTCCAATTCCTGATGTTAAAAATCGGTTCTCTGCAGACAGTTTTTCAGGTAATCCTGAACTATGTGGAGAATTGGTCTCAAAGGCATGCCCGCCATCAGCAGCACCACCATCAACAAGGAAATCTAAAGATTCATCAAGCAAGGATTTCCTTATCTACTTTGGTTATGTAGCCCTAGGCCTGATCATAGTGCTACTCGTTGCCTACAAATTAGTCAGTAAGAAGAAGCCAAAAGAAGAAAAAAGTGAGGCAGTGAAAAAGGGGGTGGAAGCACAGACTAGCAGCAATAAGACTAGTAGTACTTCCAACGAATCCAAGACCACTAAGCATAAGTCAGAGTATTCAATAAGTTCTGCTGAGAGTGGAGTGGCCTTGTCATCACTTGTAGTTCTCACGAGTCCAACAGCCCAAGGTTTAAGATTTGATGACCTTCTTCGAGCTCCGGCTGAATTGCTAGGAAAGGGAAAACATGGAAGCCTTTACAAGGTAATGCTTGATAATGGTGTGACAACCTTGGCTGTGAAGAGGATAAAGGACTGGAGTGTTACAAGCGAAGACTTCAAGAGCAGGATGCAGAGGCTGGACCTGGCAAGGCATCCGAATGTATTGCCATCAGTTGCATTTTATTGTTCCAAGCAAGAGAAGCTCTTGGTGTATGAATATCAACCAAATGGCAGTCTTTTCGGGCTCCTCCATGGTAATCTCATTCTCACTAATTCTGCTGTAGAATTTGATTTTATACCTTCAAAATTTCCTTGGAGAATACAACAGATACATTGGCACAAAAAGTAGACAAATATAGATACTAGTTTATGCTCACGGGCAAGAACAACCTGGATCAAACTGACATGGAAACCTGGCCTTTCTTCCCTAGGCTGCTTAAGATAATTCATAATCAAACAACTATGCTTCCTTGTTGATTCAGGATCCCAAAATGGCCAGGCATTCAACTGGGGAAGCAGATTAAACGTAGCAGCTAGCGTTGCTGAGGCTTTGGCATTTATGCATGAGGAGCTCCGTGAAGATGGAATTGCTCATGGTAACCTGAAATCCACGAACATTCTGTTCAACAAGAATATGGATCCATGTATCAGTGAGTATGGACTAATGGTGTTCGACAGTCAAGACCAAGCATTCCATTCTCCATCCAACAGCTTCATCATCGACAATGATTCAGACCGAGGTCAAACCTATGGAAGCTTTCAAGCTGATATCTATGGTTTTGGGGTAATTCTTCTTGAACTTCTTACAGGGAAGCTGGTGCAGAATAATGGCTTTGATTTGGCTCGGTGGGTGCACTCCGTGGTTAAAGAGGAATGGACAGTTGAAGTGTTTGACAAGGACTTAATTCTGGAGGGTGCAAGCGAAGAGAGGATGCTGAACCTGCTGCAGATAGCACTCAAGTGCATAAATCCTAATCCTCACGAAAGGCCAAGCATAAACCAAGTTGCTGTAATGATCAACACGCTGAGAGATGAAGAAGATAGATCCAGCTCCGAACCATGAACACTCCTCAATACCATAATGTAAAAAAAATTTGTTGTTGGGAACCCACAATTCCAACTCAAATTTCTGTAATCTACCAATGCCATTTTTGTATGTTGGAAACTATTCTTGACAGAATATGAAAATAGGAAAATGCTAAGGCGGCTGAAAGAATTCTGATCTGTGTCAGAATGATTCAACAAAAACAAGGATAATTTGTTCATTGTCTTATATACATAGGGCTATGAGCAATTAACAAAAAGTAGAAGACTAATTATCCCAACTTATACAATTAACTAACTACACTAACTAACTTTTAAACTTTACATAAATGAAACGGTATGTTTCATGTGTGTAGACTAAAGAGTGAACTTCTATAAACAAAACACTGCATACAAGTAATGCTCTCTTAAACAATGTG